CAGCAGCAGTGGTAGCTGTCCAGGGAAGGAGCTCTAGCCAGAAGCAGCAGTAGTCCAGGAAAGAAGGGTGAAGGAGCTCCAGCTAGCAGGGCAGTTGGAGAGGAGAAGGGAAAGCTCCAGCCAGCAAGGCAGCCACAGAGGACGCTGAGCACGCTCTGTAGCGGGGTGGACACCTACTCCTGCCCTGAAGGGCTTGAGATCAGCCCTGGGAGAAGGTTGTGGCTGAGAGCTGCTAAGCTGGGCTGACTGGGGAAGTGGCTGCAGCTGGGCCACGCCCCAATCATGCCACAGCTGGCCTGTATAAAAAGGCTGTGAGTCAGAGGCCCAAGGGAGAGTCTCTCCAGGCTGGGAGAGAGCAGGGCTTGGCTGCCTGCAGTAAGGGTACTGGAAGTTAAACAGGGCTGGGGAGAGCCAGAGGAGCAGGGGTGCTCCAGGCTGGCAACTCCCCAGGCTGCAGGGCCTGGTCCAAGGCCCATAGAGGAACTGGGAGACAGAGGAAGGCAGCAGGTCCGAACCCCCTTGCCTATGATGAGTGGCTTTTACACTGAAGTCTTCCCCAGGAAGCAGAGGCTTGGTGATGACTGGCAGTAGCCCAGACTGAGGCAAGGTGGGGATTAGAGGGTTGGGGAGACTCCCCACAGAGGGGAGACCCAGAGACTGGTGGAGGTATTGCCAGGGGGCAGCCCCAGGGAAAAGGGGCACTGGGGTTTGAGAGGGACATGGGGGCAGTGGGACACTAGCCTGCAGAGGGTGCTCTCTGCTGGAAAGAGCTAATTCCTTGAGATGACCAGCAGGAGGTGCCGCATGGGTGAGTCCTGCATGTTTACAGGAAGGAAAAGGACACATTTGGGGGTGGGAGAGGAGACAAGTTCTCACATCTCAGGTGGTGTTTGTGGTTCAGACTGAGCTGGCCATGTCATCTGGCTCCCTCTTTCTGGCCTAATCTATTAAGGACCTCTTTCAGTATCAGGATAAGGAAGGTTCTGGGATCCCAGGAAACAATAGGGATGGCAGCCATGATGGTGAAGCTCCCTCCAGTATTTCTTTAAGGTCCCCACAAAGGGTGTGGTGGGCAGAACAGCCCATTCCCTCATTACTTTGTCCACTAATTAAGCCTAATTGCCGAAGAACCAATTTTGGTTGATAGATTTTTGGTCTCTCACTGTTCTTGGTTACCAAGCATGATCCTAACACAGTCCTTGAATTATCTGTAGGCCTTTTAGTTTGGAATAATTCAGTCTGTCTCCCCTTTGAAGTTTTCCCCCTCAACATTTGTTGTTACAAGTTACTGTGATACTTTATGAACTTTCACTCACTTTTCACAGCTGAGTTCACAATTAGGGTAAATTTGTAGGTCCAATTATCACAACAGTATGAAAGAGACCACATTCATTTGTGGGGGAGTATGGAGCTGATTGTTCAAGGAATTGGGAACATGCAGGGAACAGGCAGAAGTTTGCGTAAGCAGACCCCACCAAGAATTATGCATCTTGTGTGAAAGGCACAATTTCCCTTTAACCCACGGTAGGGTCCACTGAACTGAAAGCCAGGAGACTGTTTTTTAGTCTTTCCTCCTCCAATGACTGGTGTTAATATTTCTGTGCAGTTCATGATCCTTGTTACTGATCAAGGACTTGTATCCATAACCTAGGAGTCAGGCAGGCACCTGGAGACAGGGCTTTGGAGCAGAGCCCGGAGCTGGAGTGTGGAGCAGCTCCGGAGCAGTGGAGCTGCAGGTTTTTGCCTGGAGCCAGAGCACAGCTCTAAAGCCCTGCCTGGAGATGCAAGTTAGTTGGCAGCTGTGCCTAAGAGAGGATCCTTGGGAATGGGGGAAACCCCAAACCACTCAGACCCTAGGAGACACACCATAGAAGAGAAATCTGAGGCCCTCCCCACCACCTTGTGGAGAGAATGTAGAAGATGCCTCATACCACCATTTATCCCGGCAGGGGCAAATGGGCTTGCTGCTTCTCCCTGAATATAGGTGTAGAGTAGACAGATGTAGACCACTCCACCTCTCCTGAGGCACATAAGTAATGGTAAGATAGGGCAGGTTCTGAGAGAGAGAGAGTTGGTGGTTGGTGTATAGATAGGGCCTCCATGGGTTCTAGCTACTTAGTTGAGTCCCCAGCTTTTAATTCTTGAGAACTGAGATTCTCATTAAAATCCCCTAAAATCCTCCTGCGTGCACAAATTACACACACACACACCCCGGTGTGGAAATCCCCAGATCTCTATCTTAGAACTATCCCAGGGAAACTTTTTGACATGCTGAAAATTATGAAAGTGGCCAGGATTGCACTTAATCCTATTTCCGCAAAGTGAATTCTTGAAGCTGAGCCAGCTACCAACAAAACTGTCACTAGTACTTTCATATTGTCTTTTATCTCATGTTACTAACTTTTCCTGTTGTACACCAGCAACACAGATCTCCATCAAGGGGTAAACTTACAAACCAGTGACTACTAACCTACCTGAATCTGATTAACTTACCTTTCCCAATCTTTTTAGTAATTTCACTCCCTGTCAATTTCTAAAAATCACTCCCGCTTCCTTTTAAATAAGTAGACCTGATTCTCAAATGTGCTGAGTCCTTGCCCGCTCCCATTGCCTTCAGTAGGGGTTATAGGTGATTATCACCTCTGAAAACCAGGCTCCATATTCTTAACAAAGGATAATATGTTTTCCTTCCACTGCACAATACTGAGAGAAGCACAATTAGGGAAAGCTTGTTAAAAGTGAGATTAGAGGCAGCACAGAGGCTAGCACCCATAGCATCCTACAAGCCACATGTCCACTAGCATTTTCTACAGTCTATTTTATGCTGAAAGGGACAGTACCAAAAAAGGAAGTGTGGTAGCAACAGAAGGGCAAGACCTAAGAACCAGCCATTCTAGACGTTTGTTCATTCCCCTAAAGAATGCCATTCCCAAAGCTTCTTAAACTGTTCTAAGCAATAACAACTTGCCCTCTACACTCTGTGACCACAATCACAGAGTGGGGGGGAGGGATAGCTCAGTGGTTTGAGCATTAGCCTACTAAACCCAGGGTTTTGAGTTCAATCCTTGAAGGGGCCATTTAGGGATCTGAACCCCCTCTCCCCCCCCCCAAAAAAAAATCTGTCAGGGGCAGTACTTGGTCCTGCTATGAAGGCAGGGGACTGGATTCAATGACCTTTCAAGGTCCCTTCCAGCTCTATGAGATAGGTATATCTCCATATAATAATCTGAACTGTCAGAAGAGCTCAGCTGGGGAGGCACTCAGTGGTAGGTAGCACCAATGATAGCCATCCTCCTCCCAGTGATCAGAGGAGCTGAGAAAAAGCCTGCATCTTTGACAACATGGGCCTAAATCTGCAAATGTTAAACCTCTAGATACTCAGAATATTTCACTATTTTGGTGGGGAGAATTGTGTGAGGGAGAAATATTGGGACAACAGCAGTTTTTACTTTCCTCTTACTGTACAGCATTAGTTTACAAGCCTAGCATATGTAGGTACTGGTAATGAATGGCCAATAAACTATCAAAAATATTTGTCTTTACATTTGTCTTAAAATTACTCCATAATGTTTATAAATAATCTTTTACCAGATTTATACAGAAACTGAGATTATGAATTATGAAATGCTTCCTTTTTTTTAGTTACAAGTAAAATGTGACCAAATGACTCTAGGCTACAGTTTTAATTAAATAAGAGTAATTTACTGTAATTTAGATATTGCAGTCAACAAAACACTGATTAATAGTTTAATTTTTCATGAATTCTAATTAGCCCTATAAATTCAGAGCATGCTGCTCCCAGTACTTATTGATGTATTATATGTATGTTTAATTAAAAGTTAATTGTGTAATATCTGACTTGAACTATACATGAGTTAACTTTGACCAACCGATATTGCTTTTTATAACCACCAAGCATTTTTTATGCTTTTTTTATAAATAACTATTTGACTATACAAGATATGCGTTTTCAAATACCAACATTTTACAGGTCCAGTTCCAAACGCTGTCAGTTCAAAGGGACTGTAAACTAGCTGAAACTAGCCCCTCCCTCTCCCCTCCAGAGGCTAAGGGAATAGGAGGTACTCTGGGAAATACAAAGATGCCAGAACAGTTCTAGTCCATCTCCCCTTACAGCCCACAATATAGGAGGAGCAGCCACAAAAAGAGTTGGCAATAGAAGCACTGCTGCACTCTGGCTAGGCTCAGCTTGCTGCATGGCAAGTCCCAAGAATCCAGGAAGTAGCTTTTGCCTCTCACTCAGCTGCTGCAGCAAGAGGAACCTGTATCCCTGAGTGCAGCCAACTCATATTTCCTATAGCAAAATAAAGCAATGGGGAATGTGTCAGCTGGCTTGCGACGTTCAGGGGGGAGGAGGGAGGAGCGAGGACATGGCTGAGGTAATCAGCTGGTTTGCGTAGTTCGGGAGGAAGGGGGAGCCTGCGCGCTGAGTCCTCGCTCATCTTCCCCCCCCCCCCCAAGGCTGCAAGCCAGCTGATTGCTGCGGGCAGGGGGCAGGGGGGGGGGGGGGAAGGCGGCGAACCTTGGGGGTCGGCGGGGGGGGGGGGGGGGTAAGGGGGGGGGGCATAAGGGAGCTGATAAGGGGGCTGCCAGCTGTGGACAAATCAGGCAACCAAACGACGTTATAGCGAAGCACTGCACAACTTTAAATGGAGCATGTTCTGTAATTGAGCAGGGACGTTAGATTGAAACAATGTTAAGCGAGAGGACGTTAAGTGGGGAGTTACTGTATACACCTAATTTAAATTTACTTATGTGCATAATGGGACTACTCATGTGCATAAGCATCTACAGTATTGTGCCCAATATCATTAAATCCCTACTACATATTTCCTGGTTCGTGGTATACTGTATATGGAAAATAATACACCTCACATTCTTGATCCTTAAAACTGGACATTACATAATTTTTTAAAACGTAGAGATTTTTTTGCAATGAGATTTTCAGGAGTCATTAAACTATAAAAGCAAAACCTCACCTTCCTCCAGGACTGCTGCTGCTATCTTCACTATCCCATTGTTCATTTTTACTTCTTGGTACTGGAGGTTGCAACATCTCCGCAGCCAATGGATCAGCATCATTCTCCTCACGACCAACCCATTCTCCAATCACACGAGGTCTTAGGAGAGGAGTATTAAAACCTGTTGCATCCTGAATAGAAACAAATGCCAAAATAAATAAATAAACAAACCTCTACACTGCTCATTCTCAGTGATGTTTATAAACCGGAAACAGGGAACAAACAAACTTATTGCTTCACCTCATATATTGATCCTTATTAAAATAGTACAGGACATTAAAAGGTCAAAAGCCTGATCCAATGCCCACGGAAATCAATGGAAAGACTCCCATTAACTTCAATATACATTGGATTTAGGCCCTAACTCCAGAGAGATGTTCACCATCCTGGTACTCAGAACTAGAGCTGAGGAAATAAAATATTTTTTGGCTCAGTTGCTGAGCCTACAAAACAAAACAATCTTTTCAGGTTGAACAAAATGTTTTGTTCCGCCTGTGATAATTTTTCTGTTTATTAGTTTTTTAGTTTCATTTTGTTTTCAGGTTTTTCTTTTACCCTTCTTTAAAAAAATAAATCTAGCTAACTTTCAAAATGTCATTTCAAAATAAAGTTTAAATGCCGTACTTTAAATTGTTGATATGAAATGTTTCAAATTTTTTAAAAAGAATTCTCTTTTGGCCATAATTATTCCCTGAAGTTATGAATAGTTTTGGGCTACCCAAAACTGCATTTTTCAGCAACTAATTATTTGTCTGAAAAATTTCAGACAGCTTTACTCAGAACCTCTCTTCATTTTTCCCTTTAAAATCCAATAGTTTTGAAAAGGAGTGGCAGGTGTCCATCACTACTGATTTGGCTTTAAAACTATACATTTTTAATAAGCCCCCTCCTATTGGAAACACCAATGTTTCAATTATGTTAAGCAATGAATGAGGTCACTTGAATATTGAAGAACACAGAAGATAGTATATTTCGATTTAATATCATCTCTTTTGCATTATGAATTCAGTGTGAAAATCTTACTGAGTAGGGAAATCAACTATTTTAAAATAATCCTGCTGGTTTTGTCATATTTTCAAATCCACAATTAAAATATATTTTTTATTTCGCAGACATTCAGTGCATTACAATAGGCAATAAATAATGTACATCATATATTGCCACTGTGATAAACTGCAATTTCAAAGCTGGAAGTCATATTTTTTTTGACAATTTGCTTGAAGATGTATGGTGGAATAACTAGTAGGAGACAAAAAAAAAAAAAAAAAACCTGGGCATTTTAAAAACTTTACTGATGTTTCACAGCATCACACAGAAACAAATAGCCCATTTGATTACGTAAAGAGTTTGTGTAAAAGTACTGCATAAGCCTTTCCAATTTTCTCGGTGTTGTGTGCTTATACGTACACTGGGAGTTGATGTGGAATAGCGATAATTTGAAGAAAATTATGCTCCAGAATTGCCATTTTGAAATGTTGTGATGGAGATAGTTATCCTGCTCTCACTGAATGCCATTTCTAGGACAGCAAGGAAATTTAAAATGCAGTGCTCCTAATTAAGATATATTGTATATTCTGATCTGTAACGAAAGACAATTCTTATGGCTGTTATTTGGCTCTACATCCCATGAAATATTCCTACTGTAAGAACAACACAGTCCTAATAAATGGCATCTGGAGAAGCAGCAGGAGGATGCTTATTTAAATTAGCAACCATATGTTTTTGTCCTCCTCAATAACAAATGATCTTTAAAGGAACACTTAATAATTGGGATGACTACTTTAAATTATAGTAAATGCAAAGTTTGAAATATTAGCAGTTATTCATAATATAAAACCATCAAAGTATTTATAATCTGTAAATAATGTCTATCCAATTTTAACATGGGGAAGCCAAATGTAGGAGTTAAAAGACAAAACTTGAAATTGAAAAGATTTCAAATGCCAGATCCTATATCCCTTGAGAGAGAGAGACTTTTGTTCACATAAACAGGTGTCTGACTGTGCACCAGTCTAGGATTTTCCTTATGTAGGAAAATATTTCCTTTCCTCAGCTACCTATTCAGCAGGGCCGGCTCCAAGCACCAGCAGAGCAAGCATGTGCCTGGGGCGGCACATGCTAAGGGGCAGCATTCCATCCATTCTTGGGGCGGCAGAGTCCGGGCAGCTTTTTTTTTTTTTTTTTTTTTGG